TTTTTTTTTTTTTTTTTTTTTTTTTTTTTTTTTTTTGGTGCTGGAGATGGAACCCAGAGCCTCACTCATGTGAGTCAAATGTTGTACTGAGCTATGTCCCGACCCTTAAAATTTTTCTTTTAAGACAGTGTCTTGTTAAGTTGCCCAGGCTGACCTCAACCCAGCAGTCCTTGTGCCTCAGCCCCAAGCCAGCCTTTGAACTGAGATTGAAGGCATGCCACCATGTCTATGTATGAACAGTCATCGTATTTCCTCTTCTCTCCTTTGTCATTGTGTTTATCTAATTGTATTTTAAATATTTCTTCCCTGTTGATATTGTACCCTAATCCCTTTTGTTTGCCTAGACTACTATGATCATCTCCTTGCCCCCATAAATTTTATTCTCTGTATCTTAGAATGTTTTCAAAATCACATTGGATATTCCTTCTCTTTGCTTCATTTCAGTGTTTGTTTGTTTGTTTTTTGCCTTTAGAATAATTGCCAATTCCTTGTGTCCTACAAATTTTTATAAAATCTGACTTTTACTCATTATCCCTACTAATTTCAGCCCTATTGTTACTTCATCTCTATGCTCTGTGGTAACAGTTCTTGAATGCGTTGGCATCATAAGACCTAGCACAACTGTAAAAATTATTGAAATCCCTAAAGAAGTTTTGTTTTTATGAGTTATATCTAATGTATGTATTGTATTATAAAGTTGAGAACATTTTAAAGATATTAATTCATTTAATGTTGTTACTAACCCATTTAATTTTAACATAATAGAATTTTTATGTAAAACAGCCACTTTCTGAAACAAAGTGTTTATAGGAAGTATGACATTGTTTTACACTTTTACAATTTTTAAATGTATGGCTTAGTAGCTATATTTTCACATGTGTTTCTGTGTGATTCTGTGTTCTGTGCTTCATTGTGATAGATTGTTATGATTGAAGTACATGAAAAAAATCCAGCATTATTCAGATATATAATTGGAAAAGGAAGTATTTTATAGCTTTTACAGATAATTATGGCTATTCCTATTCAGAATTGGACTCTAAATTTTTCAAACTGTATTATATAAAAACCTATTTAAATCTCTTGGAAAATATTGATTCACTAAGTTAAGCAAATATTCCAAATGTTGACCCTTTGCATTGTGTAATACTTTTTAAAATTACAACTTTCAGTGATAACACAGACCTCAGGAAAGTCTACATTTTAAGAAGCTAAAAGGAAACTGGCTCTGTGTGTGTGTCTATATCTATATAGTTTATGTTTCATATATATATATATATATACACACACACACACACACACACACACACGCACACACACACACACACATATATATATGAAAAGATATATGTTATAAAAGAGTATACTACTAAGTTTGGCATCATTGTTTTCATTCTTGTTAAATTGTAAGCAGTTTTACTACCATGACTTTTGCAATATCAGTGTAAATATAAAGACAATGTAAAATGCAAACAACATCTATGTATTATTTTGAAAGTAGTGTTACACCCTTTATGGGTCCACAGACCACTTAGAGATCTCTGTTTCTACTTATGTTAATTGATATTTTACTTAACGAACACTTACATAGCACTTATGCTATGTCAGTGTTTAGTGCATAATAAATGCTCTAATGCTCATTAAAGTAAGTCTTGTTATTATTCCTAATGAAGTAGGAATCCCATCTTATGCATAAAGAAACTGAAGAGATAATTAATTATTGCTCAAAATCATATAGCTAGTAAATGTCAGGGTGGAGATTCAAATTCATGTGTTCTGATTCCAGAGTCTGTATTCTTATTCACCAGTCTTCTCTTGAATGTCCTTCTTACCTTGGGGATTGTGTAGATATCCTTCCATCTTGAATGCTCATGTCGTACTTTTGTGCACTAAAACACTAGTACACCCAGAATTCTGATATTAACCCCAACTCTGCTTTAATTCGGCTAAATGATTTACCTTTTTAGGGAAAACTCTCCCTCCTATTCCCTTTGATTTTTCATAATATCATTTGCCTTTTACTTCTCAATACTTTCTGAAAATGCAGTTTGATACTTGTCAGTATTAAACTAAATTCTCTTTTCCTCTATTTGCATAGGGATTGTGTTTGTTTTGCCACAGAAACTAGCAAGCCTAACACATATTCAATAGATATTTGCTGAATAAAATAGGCATATGAATACAGAGATGAATGAATAGAATTTATTTGTGTTTATGGAGTGAGAGAGCTAACAATTTTCTTTTGAATGTTTAGTTATGGCAACATTTGTTAGAAAAATAAATCTCTTGTTCACTGACTAAAATGTGGTCTTTGTATTGCTATATGTACTATTAGAATATTGTTTATTTCTAAATTCGCTCTTCTATTTCACTAGTGTATTCTCTTGAATCACTGTTTAAATTATTTCATCGTTATAAAATAGTTTTATATTGGATGGGAAATGCTAATTTTATATTAGACATATTTAAAGAGGCTTAGCTCCTATTTCTGTCCTGCTCTTTGTTCTGACATTTCCCTATAAATGATCCTTTTTATTAGTTTTTCATTACACCTTTCATTTTTTAAAAAATAATATATCCTGGAGATAATAGCAATATATAGAAGTCATTTCTATTTTGAAAAAGTTGCATAGTACTTAATTTTATGTATCCATTATAGTTTATTCATTTTTCTCCATATTAGATATTTGAGCTTTTACCAGTCTTTTTCTGTTTTAATTGCTACTGCAGTGAATATTCTCGTGCGTTTATCATTGCTTATATTTGTGTTGTGTCTTGGATAGATCATAAGAGATTTTTTAATAGAAATATCATAAAAATAGTGTTAGGAAGATAACACTGGTGGTGGAATTATATCTAATCATGAGTAGTATTAAAAGTCTGGAAACTTAGAAATCATAACTGTATTCTACAGTAAGATGATAACTACCTTAATATTTAGTGCAGTCGCCAGGCATGGTGGTGCATGCCTATAATCCCAGCATTTGGCAGGCTGAGGCAGGAGGATCACTGTGAGTTCATGACCAGCCTGGGCTACATAGTGAGTTCTAGGTCAGTCTCAACTACGTAGTGAGACCCTATCTCAAAAAACAAACAAACAAACAAAATTTTAGTGCAGTAAATACTCCATAAAAAATGTTTTCTCCTATCCTGATCTAATATACTCATTATCTCTCATTCATTGATATATTGCTTCATCTACATTCCTCTTTCTCCTGCATTCCTGGTCAACTTTTCCCTCTTTTGACACTCCTGCATGGGATGTACTCATTTTCTCTCCATACACTGTTTTCTCCATTTATTTCTCTTCTGGAAATTATCTAATAAGAATCAGAACCACTTATTCCTTGAAAACATGCTTTTCACCTTTATTGACTCTTACCTATTACAGAACTACCTTTTTTTTTAAGCATAGAAAAATGAAGAAAATTTGCATTTCCAATATCTTTCAGACATGGAGACTATACCTGAGAGCAAAGATTCAACCTCCATGGAAGATTCTTCCAAAGAATCATGTCATGATGTAATAAAGGACAGACTAACAAGAAATAGTCTTTATGACTCCACCTTGGAAACTGCTCTTGAATGTGAAAATTGCTTAGAGAATCAGCAAGGAAATCAGGAGAGACACTTGAGAAAAGTGTTCAACTACATGAATTCACTTGTTGAAGAAAGAAATCATGACCATGATATATATTGGAAAAACTTCAGTCATAAGTCTGTGTTTATCACTCAAGACAGAGTTTCTAAAGGATCCTATCCATTTCATACACTGGGTAAAAGACTGAAGCAAAAGTCAAGTTTAATGAAAAAGCAAAGAACCTATAAAGAGAAAAAACCTCATAAGTGTAATGATTGTGGTGAACTCTTCACTTATCACTCAGTGCTTATTCGACACCAGAGAGTCCATACTGGAGAGAAACCCTATACCTGCAGTGAATGTGGGAAATCTTTTAGCCACAGAGCTAATTTAACTAAACACCAAAGAACTCATAATAGAGTTCTATTTGAGTGTAGCGAATGCAAGAAAACCTTTACAGAAAGCTCAACCCTTGCAATACATCAGAGAATTCACATTGGAGAGAGACCTTATGAATGCAGTGAATGTGGGAAAGGTTTTAATCGAAGTACACATCTTGTGCAGCATCAGTTGATTCATACTGGAGTGAAGCCTTATGAGTGTAATGAATGTGATAAAGCTTTCATTCATTCATCAGCACTTATTAAACATCAAAGAACTCATACTGGAGAGAAACCTTACAAATGTCTAGAATGTGGGAAAGCCTTTAGCCATTGCTCATCCCTTACCAAGCACCAGAGAGTTCATACTGGAGAAAAGCCATATGAGTGTAGTGAGTGTGGAAAATCTTTTAGTCAGAGTACACACCTTGTTCAGCATCAGAGAATACATACTGGAGAAAAGCCCTATAAGTGTAGTGAATGTGGGAAAACTTTTAGCCGGAGCTCAAATTTTGCTAAACATCAAAGAATTCATATTGGAAAAAAACCCTACAAATGCAGTGAATGTGAAAAAGCCTTCATTCATTCATCAGCTCTTATTCAGCACCAGAGAACTCATACTGGAGAGAAGCCTTTTAAATGTAATGATTGTGGGAAATGTTTTAAGTGCAGTTCATCCCTCATCAGACATCAAAGAATTCACACTGAAGAACAGTCCTGAAAATTTACTGAATGTGAAGAAATGTAAGTTGTTTTTATCACTGTTAAATACCTGAGTGTTTTAAGTGAAAGACCTGTAATATGCATCTAATTTCATGCCTATACATAATTTTGCTCTTAGGTAAGATGTTTCTGTGTGTTTATTTGATAGTTATGAAAACTTCTAACTACAGATCTTAAAATTCTAATTCCCAAACTCCCAAGATAGCCCATTTGTGGAAATTCAGGAAATCCCAGGGAAGAATATCAGTATAAACATTGTGAAACCTAATTTCCACCTTCTCTTTTGTACCAGAGATCCATTATGGCTATCCTTTTGGAAGAAAATAATGTTGTGTGTTAGTCTAAGGGCTAATACCTTTATTATCAGGAAGACATACAGTTATTCTGAATCCAAAGTAGACACACACATAGTCATTTCTTACATATAAGCTATAGAAATTATAAAGGGTAAGGATTGAAAGCTGCTTAGGATTCCCTTCCTTCCCTCAAAAATTGCTGTCTATTTTGATGAATATAGCTAAAATGTACTTACAGCAAATTCCAAGTTATTTTCCTGTGGATTATGTTGGTCATGTAGTTAGCTAATTGCTATGCCTCTGTTGAGGAGATCATTTCCCAGTTCCCCTCAGTTACTCTGAAGTAGAATGGGCCAAAATCTTAAATGTATTTGTTGATCAAATCCCTCTTTTCTTATTCTTGTCATTAATTGAATCACTCATTTTCTACAATTAAATTATCGGGGAGACTTCATTTCACTACATTACATCTGCAAACTACTCTGTGTCACGTTTAGAAAAAGCTTTAGGGATATTGAGAGTCTGAACAGTTGATAGATTCAATGTATTACTTTATTTAGGGGCCCAGTCAAGAGAACTGAAGCAACCAGTTCATACTTCCTGCCAGGTGTGAAAAACGATCATGAGACGATCTTCAAGTGACTAACTTGAAGATAAAAAGCTTCCCCTCAAGAAGAAGTTGCCATTTCTCTGGACTTCATGTTTTACCCACATTTTTTTTTTTTTGGAGGTTTTAGTTCTCCATATGTTGGTTTGTCTTTATGTCCAAGCCCTTAAGAAAGTGAATAAGGCATGCAATCAAAATAATATATTAGTCTAAGTTACATGGGTGACCAAAGACTAGTAGTCAAATTGGAAACAAAAAACAGGACTTCAAATAAATATTTAGTAAAACACTATCAGTTTTTGTTATTTTATTTCACATTACGTTATATGAAGACTAGAAAAATTACAACACATTTGTTCTCTCCTGAATCCTACACTTCTGTCCATACTTTTCTCTCCTCCCTATTTTCTGTTACTTATAGTTCCTTTTCAGTTATTAGGTCTTAAGCTTTATGATCAAAGAAAATTTGGATAGCATCTAAAGGCATGGTGATAGTGGAGAGCATTGTCATGAGCAGTGAGTGGAGTATATATCCAGCAATGGTGGAAATCACACAAAATGAGAATAAATTAACTTTTCACACAAACTGTCCTAGAATGAAAAGAGAAAATTGTTGGAGGGGGTTCAAGATCAGTGGAAAGGCTTAGGGTCAGAGGTCAAGTTAGAAGAATAGTTGACCATAAAATTCAGGGAAAGGAGCTCAACTTTTATCACCTTAGTTTTTTGGTTTTTTGTTTGGTTGGTTTGGTTTTTGTTTTTGTTTTTTGGGTTTTGTTTGTTTGTCTGTTTGTTTTGGTATTGGGGATTGAACTCAGGCCCTTGCATTTGCAAGGCAGGCTGCAGAACCACTGAGCCAAATCCCCAACTGTCACCTTAGTATTACTAGTTGGGAGTAGAAATCGAAAGCTATGGCCTAAACTCTTAGACCAAATCTGGCCCATTCCCTGTTTTCTGGATTTTAGCAGAACTCAGCTGTACTCATTTACATCTTTTTTTCTGCTTTTTTTGTGCAACAGCAGAATTAGTAGCTGCAGCAGAGATTGTTTTGGGGCTGCTGTTATCAAATTCCATAAACTGGGTGTTTTATAAACAACAATTTATCTCACAGTTCTAGAAACTGAAAAGTCCAAGAAGGAAGTGCTAGTAGATTTGTGGAACTGATTCCAGGTTCACAGGAGGCACCTTCTCTCTGTGTTCTCACACTGTTAAAGGGGGGAATATTTCCCTCTTCAGACACTGATCGCTTTCATGAAGATTCCATTCGATGATCTCATCACCTCTTAAAGCTCATAATTCCTAAAACTTTTATGTAGACAATTAGGTTTCAGCAAAAGTTTCTGAGACAGTCCATAACAAAGTACATTTCCAAAAGTGTACAATATTTATTATTTTACTCTTTATAGAAAGTTTTTACTACCCTCTGTACCAGAGAATCCATGCATATGGAAAGGTGAGGTATAGGGATTAAATCAGAAATCATGTGGAGTGCAAAAGTTGTGATAATGATGAACTTAGCCTTTCACTAGGGACTAGAGCCATTATAGTTAGCCTCTTTTTTTTTTCAGCTTTAATTGAGTTTATTGGTATGTTTTAGGGATACAGTACAGTTACATTCATTGTTGGGATCTTGTACCTCTACATGACAGGTCTTGGTTCTCATATTTTCCCCTTGTCCCTGCCCTCCCTTCACACCCTCCTTCCCTCCCCATCTACAAACACTTTATTTCCATCTTTTCATTATTTCACATTTTTTCTTTTCCCTTATTACCCTTCCCCTACCCCTCCCACCTTCCCTACACCTTTAGCCCCTTTCTTCCCATTTCACAATGTCAGTAATCTTATTAGGATCTTATGTATTATTGCAGTTTATTCACACCAGACAAACTATTCAGTATTTACACATGTGTGACTTATTTATTTCACTTAGTATATCTTCAATATGTATGCACTTTCCTATGAATGAATCTATTTTCTCGTTCTTTATGGCTGAGTAATATTCCATTTTATAGAAAAACCACATCTTCTTTATCCAGTTTCCAACTGATGGGCAAATGGGCTGTTAGCCTCTCATCCAAACTGTTAAGCAGAGCAATCAGTACTCCTGTCACTTTTTATTTTTTAAGGTTACAACTATTGAGAGAAGTGGGGTGGGAAAAGTTAAAGAGTTAGAAAATGATGTCTAATCCTAATTACTAGGTTGCTACTACATTTGTTGGATATTTACAGTTACTAAAATTTTTTATGCCAAAAACCTTGAATAAGAAGACATTTAGTTGGGGTCCAAATTTTGACTAATGGAATAAGACCAGTGTGGACTTTTCAAAGTTGAGTTTGATTTCTGCCACTCCCAGTCAACAATTATGTGTTCTTGAAAACCACTTTCTTTCTCTGAGATTTGGTTTCTTTACCTATAAGTGGGATAAATCATCCTCTCCTCGTAAGATCCTCATGAAGAGTAAAAGAAAATAATAGATAGCCTCACTTCTATTCAACCCATGTCCTTTACTTGTTCATGCCTACTTGTAAGCATTCTGCATATATATGGTATACATATATAATAAGATGTGTAATATTATATATTTTAATATGTATATTTTTAATGAAATGTCTAAGCGTCAAGCAGTAGAAGTTACTTAAGAATGAGTAGATCTCCCCCAATTTATGTTTACTGATTAAGAACTGTGACCATTTTGTTTTAGTTTAGAGAGAGCTTCACTTTTGCTTTTGTTTGTTTGGTGCTATTCTTATGGCTTCTGTGAGACCTTGTCTAACTTTTTTCTTTCTGAATATGACTTAAGTAGGAGTCATCTTCAATTTTGCCATCTAATTGCAGTGTTAAGGGACTTCTTTTAAGTTAGTTTTATTGGGATCTCTGGCCCTTTGCATTTTTATGCCTGATATTCAACCTGTCTACATGTTTATAATTCAACATGACTGTTGGTAGTTGTAATGATAAATTTGAGTGGTCTTATTGACTTACTGTCAATAAAGATATTGTTTGTATGTTTATTGTCAGAACTTTTGTAAATCTCCTAATTTGGCATATTTTAAGATGGAAAGAATCCAGATGCTCAGTGGTGAATGCTTGTAATCCCAAGCACTGAGGGAGACTGAGACAGGAGATTGCAAGTTCAAGCCCAGCCTGAACAACTTGGCAAGTCTCTGTCTCAAAATAAAAAATAGAGAAAGGGCTGGGAATGTAGCTCAATGTGAAGACACTGGGTTCAATCCCTGGTACTACCAAGAAAAAGAAAAAGAAAACGAATCTACTAAATAGTGGTGAGTCTGTATGCCAAGTACAGCACCAATTGTTCAGCAGGAGAAGTGGGAGGAAAGCAGAGAGAACTTCATATAAAAAGTGGAGTTGGCCTGGAGTGTGAATCAGTGAAACCCTGGGTTTGAGCCCTAGCACCACAAAATAAACAAAAAACACAGATACACAAACACACAAACACACAGTAAACTTGGAAAAGTATGTGAGAAAAAACAATTACAGTACATCTATTTTGGGAGAAGACAGTGTAACATTACTTATAAAAATGAAGCCAGGCCTGGTGATATATCCCAGAAACTATGTGTGATTTCATTTCTCTTAAAGAACAAGAGTAGCAGCAGTGAGAATTGAGGATGGAGTGATCATCAATGGCCAGGTCCTGAAGGACCTTCAGATTTGAATCTGAAGGATGTGGAAGAAAAAAAGAAGCCTTGTGTTGTTATTTTTAACAAATAGAGTAGCACAATTAAATTGTCTATTTTTAAAAGATCACCATTGCTGCAGTGTGGAATGGACTGGGGAGGAGGAAAGTTGATGACCAGGTTAGAAGGCTGTACAGGAGGAATTAGGCAAGAACCAGTGGTACTCAACATGAAGTTTTGTCTTTCCCTCCCCACTTGTGTAGAAATTTTTATACTTTTCCATTGCTTAAAGATACAGGCACACACATACACTGCTTGTAGACGTTTTGTTTTTATTATAACATTCTCATGAGAAAAGAAAACAAGGTGCTAAATTTTGCTGTTTTCTACAGCCTGGGAGATGACACATACTAAAATATAATTTTTTAAAAGTTAAAAACATGATTGTCATATAGTAAACTTGTGTCACAGATTTATTGAACTCATTGAAGATAGAATTATCAGGCTAGTGAGGATGGCTCAAAAGAAGATACCAGAGCCAGGGGTTTAGCTCGGGGGTGTCACCACCTGCCTCGCAAGCACAAGGTCTCGAATTAAATCCCTGGAACAACAACAACGAAAAGAAGCCAGAGACTGGTGTATATTGTCAGTGTGTTCCAGCACTGAGAAAGTGACTAAGACAATGTGATTCTGGTGAGCACAAAATCTCTGTTACTTGGGTAAATTGCGCAGAAAGTAAAGAATGATCTCTCACTTCCTCTTTTAAGAACAATCACTGAAGCAAAGATTTCACCAAGTTCTAATCATATTAATATAATGTGTAGAATTAAAGATTTTGCGAACATTTCAACAAATAAACCTATCAAAATCAAATGAATCTTTGTCAATTTTTAACACATTTTATTGCCTGTTTTCAGTATCTGCAACTATTATAATGCACAATTAAAGTTTTCCCTCTGTTTCAAAACTTACCATGTTTACTCAAGTTTTTTCCTTTCTCATTTTTTTCACATTTTATCACAACCAGACATTTTACTTTAAGACAAAATTACTCTTTTTTTTTCCACCTGATAAGCCAAAACTACACCCTGTTTTTTATATACATATTTGGGAGTGTCAAGACCATTCCCACTTGCTAAAAAGATTCACAGGATACAGTCAAGCGCATTAGAAAATACTTGAGGTTTGTATTTGGTGCTGGACATATAGACACTCTTGCCTAACATGAACCTAAACCCCACACTTCAGAAGGAAAGGTGTTCAGAATAAACCATGTTGCACACAAAATTCAAGAAGAGCAAGCCACTCTTTTATCAATTCTGAGAATGGCAGGAACCATCCCAAAGTCAAAGTTCTCAGACACCAGCTAGTGGTCAAACTAGTAAGGAGGCCTTTGTAAAGACAGCACTCAGCTTGCTTTGTTATCTCTGCATAGTTTTATTGCCACTGTTTTCACCATATAGTCCCACAACTACTTGTATTAATCACAAATTTGCTAACCAAAGAAATTAACTGGGACATAGATGATCAAGAATGCTCTAGAATATACACAAGCAATTTAGTAGATGTGAGCAGAGTTCACAAAAAAACAATGTGACCTACAACCACACATCCTTCTACATCATTAAATGGTAAAACTAAGCACATATATATATGAGGGGGTATCCTAGGTCTGTCCATGAAAAAAGCGTACAAGCTCTGATGATCAACTGGCAATGATCCACAATCCATGTGACCAGCACCCAATAAAAACATTGGGTATTGACTCTCTAATTCCCTTTTTTCTTAGATCACATTTCTTAAATCCTTCTCCACTAAAAGAACCAGGGCTTCTCAGAGGGTTGGACTATTCAAGGACTGAGGGAAGAAACTCACGACTGGAACATCTTATTCCAGAAAATAAAGCAGTGTTTTCAAAATTATGATTAAGTTACAAAGACATAAAAGCCTACTTGAAGTGTGGCTTTCATTGACCAAAATTGTGACAATTTGAGGAGCAAAACAGTACCATAATGAATGATGTCATTGAAAAAATAGTAGCTAATGAATTCATGTTGATAAGTAAATAACGAGAGGACAGAGGGCCTTTACTTACAGCAGAATACCCAATGCCATTGGTCAATG